TGTCCGCACAGACGGAGGGACTGTTGTTATTGCACTCAATTTGGGCGACGATCCCATAGACATCACTATCAATGACTCCCAATCCCATCAAAAAGTTTCCCATACTTTAAGTCCGCGTTCAATACAATCATATCTTTATTATAATAACTAAATATTTGTTTAATTGTTATTAATATTATGATAATGTTATGAATAAATTGTAAATTATAAAATTATTTAATTATGATAATTATTGAAAGTTATTTATGTAAAGAGTGCAAATGAATCTGGGTTATAATAATTTAATCTTACATTTGTTATCTATTTTTACAATGCATTCCCAGAAACACATATTTAATAACTAAAGGAATTAAATAATAAACCAATTGTATTAATGATAATTAATCGACACTTTAATTGATAAAACAATAAGTATTAATAATTGATTAAGTTATTATTTAATACTCTAAACTAAAGGTTATATAAACCACAACTTTTATATAACTTACTTCAATCTTTTAATTAACCTAAATTAATCTAAAAATGAAGAGTTTTATAATTTTATTCAATTTAATAGTTTTTGGTAATAAATAATAATAAATTTCACAAATAATAAATCAATTAATTTGTTATTTATTAGTCTATTGCCGTCAGGAATGCGTTCATCGAGACTATGGCTACGGGTCTACAGTCTGTGTCTGTAATGCCAAACATTGCGATGATTTGGATCCGATTGAGAAGACACCCAAAGGTGTGGTCACTGTCTTCGAGACGAGTAAAAGTGGTCATCGATTCGACAAAACGGAACTCAAGTTTGGATCAAAGTCTGCGATCAGAGCCGCAAAATCGCAGACAATAACTGTCGACAAAAGTAAAGGCGTTTATCAGAAGATCATAGGATTCGGCGGTGCGTTCACAGACGCCGCCGGACTTAACATCAAAACACTTCCCCAAACTCTTCAAAACCATATAATTAACGACTATTTCAGTGAATCGGGAATTGAGTACACTTTGGGACGGATACCGATCGGGGGCTCAGATTTCTCAACACATGCCTATACTTATGACGATAAATTCAAAGACGATTTTGAATTCAAACACTGGAACCTTACCGCAGAAGACATCGATTATAAGGTTTGTTTTATTAAATTATTAATTATGACAAATAATAATAGTTTTTAAATGTTTTATTAGTTACCATATTTGAAAAGTGCATTAAAAACCAGTCTGAACAAGGTGAGATTCTTTGGCAGCACGTGGTCGCCCCCGGCGTGGCTTAAAAACAACTCAGAAATAATTGACGGCGGCTTTATTATTGGACAACCCGGTGGCAAACATTACAAAGCCTACGCCAACTACCTTGTTAAGTTAGCAA